ATATTAATATTAGTTTTAAGCTTATTTTAATTTGTTTTCTTTTACGGTTAAGCTAAAAAGGCTGGCTGCTGGTTAAAAGATAAATTTTTTTTTCGTTTCTTAGAAAATTAGTTTAAAAAATATTCGTTAAAAACAACAATATATGTAACGTTAGTTTGAATCTCAGCTAACAATGTAGAGAAAGAGAGTCATTTCAAACGTTTCCCGCTCTATCTCTCTCTCTCTCTCGTTCGCTCTTTTTATTATTAATCATCCGTTTTTTGTTTACCCTAATTTACTTTTATAATTTTGATTCAGCCGATGTTGGTTTTGAGGCCGGAAATTTAGGTTCGGTTTCTTCTTGCTGTGGACTGGGTAGCGTCTTTACAATTTTAGGTACTATAGTTATTGGTTGATCCTCCTCATCCTCGGCCTCTTCGCCCTGTTCCTCGTTAATTGGTGTTAAGGTTTCTATATGCACTGGACTCTCTTCGGATTTAGTGCAACGTTTTAAACACGGTGCCATAAAGCTGGTAATTGTGGATAAAGCGAAAAGAGCGCCGGCCATATAAAATGGCAAGTCATAGGATTGCGTTGCATCGTAAACGGCACCAGCCAGTGGTGATCCAATAATGGCAGCAAAACCTCTGAATAGTATTAGGAGACCGAAGGCATTGGTTAACTTATCTAGGCCAAGTAAATCTACGAGTATAATTGACGTTAGAGATATGTAACCAGAAATAGATACACCAAAGAATATAGCCATCACTACAAAGGTAGTGTAAGAGGCACATAATGGAGTGAGAAATACTGCCACCGTACACACGAGCAAGCACATATTATTCAAAAATAAAGAATTCACCGAAGGGAAATCTGCAACATAACCGCATATAACACGACCGAAAGTGTTTGTGATGCCAATAATTGAAAGCAAAAATGATGCTGAATCGGCATCGATACCGGCTTTTTGCGCAGCATCGACCAAGTATACGAAGGGTACGTAAAGTCCAGCCATACCAAAAATGTTTGAAACACCGATCAGCATGAAAACTGGATCCCTTAGTAGAGTAACGTCGAGCATATTGTTGATAACTGAACGCACCGAATCAGGTATGCCCAAGCATGGGCACAGATCGTATTGTTCGCGATTTTTTTCTGCCTCAGCTAAAGGATCTAAACGCTGAACGCTTTGCATGCTTTTCTCATATTTTGTTAGCGATAATACGGATTGACGGTAATTAGTTAACGATTTTTGGGATTGATAGAGTGGCAAATTTGTTACCGAACCAGAATAAAAAATATCCTTACGTGACATAGGCCTAACCATTTTGCCGCTGTCTTGGCGTTGCGACAAAGACATTTTCGATGCAGTCATGCCCATTTCTGCATCCATATCAGTTCGTGATGCCGATCTGATGGCAGCCAATGATGGTTGGAATTTTTCTGATGTTGAGGTTTTACGTGAACGTTGAAAGGACGGTACTGAGCCATTTTTTGGAAGACTATGATAGTCGGCTGTAAAGGCCGGTTGCGAAGCATTGCGGGTCATTATATCGACCGACGGGTAAGGACTGGGACCGCATTCTGAATGTCGTTGAGGACGGCGACCGCGCGTTTCTAATTGACCATTGCTTTCTTTTCCGTTAGCTGGCGAGCTTTGCTGTTGCTGTTGTTCATTTTGCGATTCTATCATATTAGCTTCGGTAATGGTAGGCAAGGTGGAGACAGGTTGCAAACTACCCATTCCGCCAGCTTGTTGAGCTAACAATTCTAAATTTAAAGATGAATGCACCCCTGGTTCCGTATTTAAAGGTAATTTTAGTTTACGCTCCATTGTGCCATCGGGCAATTGAACCATAAATGAGCCCGCGAATGAACCACGTTCCAATTGCATTTGTTTTTCTTCGTACATACGTTGCATTAGGGGTTTCACTTTCTTCTTTTTAGGATAGGTAAGCGGTCGCATCATCGCTCCAAAAATAGCACAGTTTAATATCATACCCGCAAAAACAAGAAGAGAATTCTTCCAGCCGTATTGTTGCAGTAAGTAGGAGGCTAATGGGGCAAACGCGAAAGTACCAAAACCGGAACCACAAACAGCTATGCCCGTGGCCAGAGATCGTTTCGTTTCGAAATAGTAACCCACAGCCACAACAGCGGGCAAATAAATCATACCGAAACCGAAGCCGCCTAGTACACCATAAGTTAACATAAGCATATCGACGGAAGTAGAAAGGGTACTTAGGGCAAAAGCTATACATCCAACAATACTGCCAGCTATGCATACCGTACGGCAGCCGTACTTATTAGCTAAAGCTGATACAATAGGACCCGCACTTAAATAAACACCGCTTAATAAACTGCCAACCCACGCTACCTTACCCTTACCCTCACCGAAATAGTCCACGAATTCACCGAGAAATATACCAAACGTATAGGCTATGCCGTCCACCACCATGTTGCACATGAATGAAGCGAAACAGACAACCCAACCGTAACCACCGTCCGGCGGTGGCGGCAATTCGCCATAATCACTGTAATCGTCATCCTCTTCGGGACTTTGTGGTGCTGTATTCTCTTGAATATCGGCCGTTAAACGTGCAGCCTCTTCACAGGCTAATTCACTATCAGTTCTATCAAATTTTCTAAGCCTAGCCGACGAAGCGCCGGAGGCTGTATTTACTTCAGCCATTTTTTTTTTTTTTTTTTTTTTTCAAAGTCTTATTTTCTAATTCTGAATTGAAGAAATCCTTTCTAAGTTTTTTTTAAGCACTTCTGCATTTAGTGGTAGCAGCATTACATAGCTTGGATTTATTTGTTCTTAGAGATTTTTAGAAATCACATTTCTCTAGACGATGATGCTTAAGCAACTTGTGCGTTATTTAATTATAGTTTTGTTTAAGGAAATATTACGAACGATACTTTGAAGCGTTCGCGCTCTCAAGATAGTACGTCTCACTGATAAAGCGTTAAAGGAAATGCTTGCAAACAAATCAAAACGTAAAATTTATTATTAATTTCTTTGCTGCTGTTGTCGTTGTTATTGTTGTTGTTGTTGTTGGTGTTGTTCATAATTTTCTTTGATTTTTGTTTACTGCTTGACATACGAACGCATATACGCACACACGCGCGCACTCACACACACACAAAAACAAACATGTGCGCGCAGATTGGTTAAATTAAATTTTCTTCGTCTTATTCGCCTTTGCCTCTGCTCGCTACACAAATTGGTCTAGATTTTCTAATTTTCCATCCATTTGTTTTTGCAAAATTTGTTTAATTTGATTTACAAACATTTCATAGCTTGAATAATTAATAATTATTCGAATAATCTTTGCTATATATATATATATATATGTAATTCCAATGGTCGAAGGAAACAAATTCTTCTCCACAAATTTATTTATGTTTGTTGTTATATTCTTTCTTAACAGTTAAATTATTGTGTGTTTACCGCTGCTCCCTTCGTGTTACTCTCCTTTTTTCATTCTCTTATTATTTATTTATTATTACTATTTTTATTTTTTTAACTCTTCCTCTCGCTTAAGCAGTTTGCTTCCTCTCATTTGTAATAATAACCCAAAAGCGTTTGTTTTGTTTTTATTGTTTTTACATTACATTTTATCTAAAGCTTTTTTGTTTTTATTTTTGTTCTTTTTGTTCTTCTCTTTTTTCCTTTTGATTTCGTTTTAATACCGACACAGCATATTTCTCTAGTAGCACGAGCGCGTACAGTGTAAAAAAAAAAAAAAAAAAAAATTATTGAAATTTTCTTATTAATATTTATATAAAATTTGAATGAATGACTTTTTTCTCAATTTTGTTTATTTATTAATTATAGTTTGTGTATATATTATTTATACATGTATATACATATATATATAATATATACATAAATCTACATACACGTTTTTTTTTTTTTTTTTATATATATATTTTATTACTATAGCTTTGTTGTTATTTTTCCTTGTTTTTCCTTTAAGCTATTCTTTCGCGTATGCACTCTGTAAGAGTTAGGGTTGTTTTATTAAATTTTTGTATATTTGTAATTTTTTTTTTTTTTTTTTTTGGTTTTTTGCTATTTTGTTATTTTATTATCGGTGACACTGCTTTTTCCGTTGAGGTTTTTTACGGTTAATTTTTTTTTATCTTTAACTTTTTCTGCTGATTGATGTTCTGCTGCAATGAAAAGAATTAGAAGGAAATTTCGTTATAATGCAAAGGTATTTTCATAAAATAAGATTTCGGAAAAATAAATTGAATCATGAAATTATTGTTATTAGCTGCTAAACACAACAACAACCTCTCTTTAATAACCATTTTATAATATTTCGTTACTCGATAATCGATATTTATTAAAAATTTAAAGCACACTCTTCTCGGTATTCGGTGTTTGTTTTTAAAACTAAATAATAATTTCCAAAAATTTTATATTTAATAGAAAAAACTCGATATATTAATATATTATTAAATTTATATGTGTGTATTGTTATAAAATAATTTTTTCTCCTTTCGTTTTTTTTTTTTTTTTTTTTTCGCTTTTTGTCTTTGCTGGTGGCACCAAAGTATTCTTATTTTTAATATACTCTGATTGAACGCGTAAGTTAGTTTGTATGCATGTGTGTTTGGCTGGTGTTGTTGTCGTCGTCGTCGTCGTCTCCGCCGTCGTCTTCTTCGCTACCGTTTGCTGGTTTTTGTGCTTTAAGTACTCTCCTGCGCTGTCATACACAGACTGCCAGCGATGAAATTGAAAATTCACATTTTTCTATAGTTTTTTCATTAACCCCTGTTGAAAATAAAAACTGTTATAAAATTGTTTGTATGCACTTTGCGTTCTTTTCACAGCACAACACAGTGAGATAGTTTTACTTTTCTCTTCGTTCTTTCTTCTCATTGCTTTTTCTTCTTCTTCTTCTTCTTCTTCTTTAGAGTTTTATCACAGTTTTATTCTCTTTGATTTGTTGTTTTATATTTGGCCACATGTTTACTGCCAAATAATTCGTATATATATATAGATATATAAATGTAAATATAGATATATACATATATATATATATATATACATATATTAATATGTATATGCATTTTAATTACTATAGCTTTATTTAACACCCGGCGTATACGTTATAAGAAAAAAATTAAAAGAAAAAAATACCTTAACGAAAACAATGTCATCTCATTCTTTGTTTTGCCCCATTTTTTAATGCAAACCTCTTGCGCTTATACGTATGTCCTAGGTTTGCGCTTGTATTGTGTGTAGACTGTCTTTCTTCTTATTTTGCCTCGTGCTGCGCTCTCTTATCCTTCGTCCTGACAACATTATGTCTTCTGCAATTAATAAGGTCACTTCTTTTTTATATCTTTTATCGGAGAATGACGGTATATTTGTTACGCTATCGTATTCGTAACACGCGATTCAGTTTAGGATCTCCTAAGGATAGTCAAATACATTTGTACGCTCGCTTATCATATACCTATTTATATACCTATCCATTACTGAAATTCTTATATGCAATTGGAAAATAAATGAAAGCTTCTTGTTGCAGCAATTTCAGAGGTTCGCCGCCAATTTACAATCTATATAAGATATTTATCAAAATTTTAAAAATTCTTAAATTTGCTTTTGATTTTGAATTGAATCTTTGTGCAATATTTTGTTTCGAAATTTCGGCAGATGTTCGCAGTTGTTGTTGTCGTTCACACACCTGCTACAAAAATACATTGAGTGGTTATGTTTTAGAAGGCTAAGAGCTGATTGGCGTAGACCTTTGCTTAAGGATCTCAACACTTTTATGCGAGAGACTTGTCGCCGCGAAATGATGAACTATGTAATTCGGGAATCAAATGTATTCTCTTCACTAAAGTTTTGATCCTATTGTTAAATTTAGTCGATTTCCCTATAGATTTCCATGTAGAGCGAGAGCCAACTACTAAGATACATTTTTGTAGATAGTCTGGTATAAAGTCGGAAATAAGTATTAGAACAGCGGTCCAAGCTATTTGCAAATACGTTAAAGGATTGAAAGAATCTTAAAGCCTCGGTCAGCCTTTTACGGCTTTTACGGATGTAAACTAAAACTAAGTAATTCTCGCTATGATCTTTTGCATACGTAGACACATTATAATAGCGCTACATTCACCCCGTTTTGCCTGCAAGCATACTGGACCAGACAAGGCTTTATTAACAGTAAATTTGCGACACTTTCCAATTTTAAGAGTGAATTTTGTGACAGAAAAGACGGGAAGCTGAAATTTGGCTCCAGGTCGATTTAAAAAAAAATTTATGTGATTTGGTCATAGATACGCCCGCAATACAACGAACATCAAAACAATATTCGAAAATACCGACAATTTTTACATATATTCGTATATAGCTTGTAATGCCGTGAATATATTTCATCTACACGTTCGATGCGTAAACTGTTCCGAACGGTTAACTAATACGATAAGACTTTTAATCGCAACTTAATTCCCATTTATTGTCAATGTTGAATCGGGTTTTGTCACTAATTGTGGACGTATCGAAAACATTTTGGAACTTACCATGGTAGTAACTCTTCTGATTTACAGGTTTCCGCAAAACTTCTTCACGGTGTCGAAAGTTACTTATAGATGAAAATATGAAAAATTCTTCGATGTTTTCAGATTTGGTTTCAGTTTCTTCTGCATAACGGGCGCATCTGTGAACAGATCGCTTCCATTCTTTAACTTTGCACTTTATATCGAACAAGGAATGTTTGAATAAAATTTACCCGTCGAATTGACGGAACAGTGTTATTGAATTGATTGAAAAAAAAGATTGCTGAAGCTAGGAGGAAAAGGTGCTTCAAGAAAATTGCTCAAGAGAATCAAGTTAAGACTATTTGCCGTTTGGAAATGAGATTTCCTTATGACTGTCTATTGTTGTCCGTACGGACGCAAACCGTCTCGGGTTAAAAGATCTGCAACTTTTCTTGATTTTCCATTAGTAGTTTGTTTAAATATAAACTCACGGTTTCTCGAGCGTTTGCCATTGATTGATGCAAAAAAAAAAAAAAAAAAAAAGAAAATGTACCAAAATGCCTTCATGATGAAGTAAGATAAGCTAGATAGATGGTAAGTGAATGGTATCTATTGAGTCGACTTACAATCAATTGCAGTTGTTAAGAGCTTTTCATGCTTTATTTGTTTTTATTTTTGATTGTACTGCATTTTGTTATTTTTGTTTTTTATTCTTTTTTTTTTTTTTTTTTTTAATTCTGTGTTGTTTATAGAACTTGTTGTTTTAACAAAGAGTGTATAACAGTTTTTCATTTTATCTCACTGAACTCAATTTTTATGTACAATATATGCATAATGATTTTGCGCATTTCAAAAACGCTATGTTATTACACTATGGTTACGTTATTCTCCTATAGACAAAAACATACACAACAGTATTGCACACTACCGTGTGCTTGTCGTACCTTTCGTTCGTCTTTCTTTGTTAGTTAATTCATTTAAAATGAAAATGAAAAAAAGGAAAAAAAAAAAGATTTTTTTTTTTAAATTTTTTTTTTTCATGTAACATCGGTGCGTGTTTTTAGTTGAAAATTTCTGCATACGCGTCATTTGTTTGGCATTTTCATAACAATAGCAAGAACAAGAACAAGAATAACAACGACAGCGACAGCGATAGCAGAACTTGTTTTTCGCTTTCTTTGAACCAAGAGTACGATGATGATGATAATGGTAGTGAGTGAAAACGATGCTCGATTTGAAAGAAAAATTAAAAAGCTTGTGATATATAATGAGCGTAGAGTGAGAAGAAGGTGATAGCGGTAAAGGGATAAAATGACAGACAAAAAGCATTGATTACATTACATTGAAGGTTTAGGGACGAATGACAATTGAAACTGTTATAATTGATTAAATTGATTTAACTAACACTCAAACGGAAAGTTTTGCTCACATTTTGTTTGTTTTTTCTTTCATTTTGCTTTCATTTATTATGAATATATAGATAACGCATATATATATATATATATATATATATACATAAATACATATGCATTGAAATGTTGCATGCATGCATGCATGCATGCAT